TTCAGCTCACTTCAAGGCTCCCTTCCACTTGCCTTCTGGTCTTTATCGTATAATCTGACTCTGAAAGAACTTCTAATCACTCAAAGCCTGAGCAAGGACAGCATTACGCAGGGCCTTGAGGGACCGACCCTTCACATGCAATCTGGTGTTCACTTTTAAGTTGTCTGGTGGAGCTCTGTGCCCATAAGGTGCACGAAGCGCAAGAACACTGCCCTCTGGGACCACCCCTGGAGGCCGAGGCACTCACCACATTGGCCAACTGTGTGATTGCCAATTCAAAGTGCACCGTGACCGGATCAGAAACGTTTTCCACCGGCCGGATGAATCGGTTGTAGTGGGCGAACAGTGTGTGGAAGAGCCGTTCTTCAGACGCGCAGCCTGTACAGCCTGTGTGGCGGATGGAGGAAAGCGTTAGGGAAGTGCTGTGGGAGGGTCTGAGCTCGCTCCTCTCCTGGTCCAAGCCTAGGGTCTCAGTCAGAGTCTCATCACTGTACCATGGAGGCCCCCTCCTAGCTGGACCAGGGCCCCTCAACCCCCCCCCTTTTTTTTTTTTTTTTTGGTTTTTCGAGACAGGGTTTCTCTGTGTAGCTTTGAGCCTTTCCTGGGACTCACTTGGTAGCCCAGGCTGGCCTCGAACTCACAGAGATCCGCCTGGCTCTGCCTCCCGAGTGCTGGGATTAAAGGCGTGCGCCACCATCGCCCGGCCCCCCCCCCCCCTTTTTAACCTTGCTTGCTTTTTTTCTACGTGGAGATGAAACAATTACCTAGGCATCATCTCAGAACCAGTACAATGTCCACAGTGATCCCGAGAAGACTGCCTGTTAAGTCATGGGCACCATAAACGTCATCGTGGGGCCGAAAGTCATGAGGAGGGAAATTTTCTTTTGGTCATTAAACACAACTCACAGCATGACCACCCGAACTAGAGGCTTTGCAGGAATTCTGGAGTCTGTGTGTTTACAACTGGCAAGGCTAGCACCCTCACCAGACATAGTACCTAATCATTGCCTAGGTCCTCAAAAGTCGTGCCCTTAAAAAAATATACCTTGGGATGATGTAGTTTTAGATTTGTGAGAATGCCAAGTTTTTAAAGTAAACTCACTTAAAATCCTTTAAAAGCAAGTGCAAATTGGTTCTCAGTGCCCCTTTTAGCTATTACATTCTGGACAGTAGTGCCACCTGTGTCTCTAACTCCTTAAGGATGCATTAGTTTCTTGCCTCCAATTTGCACAACTCACTCCCCCAACACCCCCACTGAAACACATCCCTACAGTTTGTTTTGTACAATTCATATTTGACGCCACAAAAATTAGGCCATTAATTTCCCCAAAAGGTTTGTACCTCGAAAGAGGGAAAAAGAATGGGCTTGAAAGCCTGAACAGGTGAAACGAACAGAGAATAATTGCCCTGTTCTTCACTGAACGCTGCTCCATGCGTCCATTTGGAAGTGCTGAATGTTGGGACAGCAGCAGGAAAGGAAACTTTTTACCTATCACCTGTCATTCTTGCCAGTGTAATTAACCACAATGAAAACATTTTTTTCCAGAAGCCAGTGAGAAACCTTCCTTGCTACTATGACTATTTCCCTCCTCTAAGACTCTTTCACTGAGCTCTCTATTAACCCCCCCTGAAACCTAGTAGCATGGGGGTAGGGTGAGGGGTAGGGTGGGTGTGATCTGCTCAGCACAGCAGCCATGTCTGAGTCACCTTTTAAAAGGAGCAAGCTCACTCTTAGCACAGACAATGAGACAGGCTTCCCTAATGAGCACAGTTACCGACAGTGAGAGCATTCACAAGCTGAGTAAGAAGTACCAGCTAACAAATAAACCACCCTTTGAAAAATATATTACGTACAACCACAAGTAAATAAGTGGAGCATATTGATAAATGGCTTCAAAAACAGATGACTCTGTGTGCTAATCGGGAAGAGACGTTTTAGTTAGAAAAATGAAAAACGATTTACAGCTTATTTCAATGTTTTCCCCACTCTACTCCCCAAATCACATCTGTTAGGTTAAACCTAACTAATAAAAGTCATCTGGTCATCTGGATCTAGACAAGATGAAAAGGGAGAGTGAACGCGTGGAACTAAAAACATTCTAGGACATAAGAGAGTGAACGCTCGGAACTAAAAACATTCTAGGACATAAGCCCAAGTAACTTACCTTTAAAGGAAGCCAAGAACCCACAAAACCACAGACACAAACCCAAGCGAAGGGATCCCTGGTCCTGGCCTGTCAGCATGATCAAAAGCCCCTGAATTCCGATGTCTGCACCGAGGGCTGGGAAAAACACAGCTGTCAGACAACTGCAAGAATCAGACCCCTCCAGCCGCGGAAGCCCAGGCGATCCACGCGGACCTTCCGCGGAATGAAAACACGGACCATCGCACAGCTGCTCCCAGCATCCCAGGCTGGAGCAGATACAAAGGGCAAAGAAAGCCAAGCCTGCTGCATCAGAAGGGCTGTCCCGTTTCCTGTCACCCTAGATCCCTGTGCAAGAAAGATGAAGCAAAGCAGGGCGAGACGCTAGGCAGACAGGCCCCTTAGAGACCTGCCCTCACCCACTGTTCTTTAGGGCAGTGGTTCTCAACCTTCCTAATGCTGCAACCCTTTAATACAGTGCAGTTCTTCACGTTGTGGGGACCCCCCAGCCATAAAATTATTTTTGCTGCTGCTTCACAACTGTAATTTTGGTATTGTTATGAATTGTAATGCAAATATCTGATATGCAGGATATCTGATGTGTGACCCCTGTGAAAGGGTCGTTTGACCCCAGGGGTCATGACTCATAGGTTGAGAACCGTTGTTTTAGGGGGCTAAGCACATATTTACTTGGCTCCCACTACAGGGGAAAAAAAAATCACACTCAGCCTCAAAGCATTCACTGAATTTGCTGTTTACTTGAGGCTTACTGGAATCTGTCTGAAAGAATCCCAATTCCTGTCTTCGTGGGGACAGTTTGGGGGACACATTTGTGTCTGCTTCAGTTTTTTTTTTTAAATTTTATTTTATTTTATTTTACAATATAATTTAACTCTACATATCAGGCACAGATTCCCTTGTTCTCCCCCCCTCCTGCCCCCCTCCCCTTCCCCCCAGCCCACCCCCCCATTCCCATCTCCTCCAGGGCAAAGCCTCCCCCGAGGATTTAGATCAACCTGGTAGATTCAGTCCAGGCAGGTCCAGTCCCCTCCTCCCAGGCTGAGCCAAGCGTCAGCCCCAGGTTTCAGACAGCCAGCTCATGCACTGAGCACAGGACCCGGTCCCACTGCCTGGATGCCTCCCAAACAGATCAAGCCAATCGACTGTCTCACCCATTCAGAGGCCCTGATCCAGTTGGGGGCCCCTCAGCCATTGGTTCATAGTTCATGTGTTTCCATTCGTTTGGCTATTGGTCCCTGTGCTTTATCCAACCTTGGTCTCAACAATTCTCGCTCATGTAAACCCTCCTCATTCTCACTAATTGGACTCCCTGCTTCAGTTTTCCAATGCCAGCTCTCCAAGTGCCTTGCTCTTCAGAGTGTTGTGACCCCAGATCAGGAGAGAGATCAAATTTCAAAGAATGAGGGCAACAGCTGTGCACCAGATATTTTCCTCATTAATTAGCTGGGGAGAGGGGGTGTTGATTAGGTTTCTGCTATTTCCCCCCTTTTCTTGGTAGCTGTGGTACCAATAGGATTCTGAATAACTGGCCATTTGGTTTAGATGTCAACATGGCTTAAAGAGGAACCAGGGAGTAAACTGTTGTATCTCAAGGAGTTCTCAGGCAGAGTTCAGGACCCCACTTGAGAATGCAGTACAGTTTGCACACTGACAGGGTCCTCCAAGTCCTCTTAGCCTCCCGGCTCCCAGCAACAGAGGGAGAACTCATACGCAGGGCATCCGGCTGGCTCCTTCACATCTTACATGTTATTTCAGTAGTTCGGCTCTTAGCACCTAGGCTTTGTCTTTTCCTGAAGACAGAGTTTCCAGAGAACCTGCGGTGACACAAAGCCAGTCAGGATGACGCTCTGCTGTGATGGATCTCATACCCTCAGTAAGTGCGCACTGTGGCTGCCGTGTTTATTGTATTTTCTACGGGACACACATCACAGTCTGTAGAGAATGGTGCTTTCAGGTCTAGCTTCCGGGCCTCTGTGAAGCTCCCAGCTGGCGGGCACAGGGCGGCTGCTGCAGAGGAGCGGGCCTTAGGAATGCACGGCTGCTGGTGTCTGCTGTCTTCAGCAGGCAGGCTAAATCGACATGACAGGTTCAGAGAGGGCACAGGGGACCCTTTGCTGTGTGTTTCTTTCTGTAGCACTAGGAGTCAAGTCCAGGACCTCAGGCATCCTAGACAAACTCTCTGGCAATGAGTCCCATCTAAGGCACCAAGATGCCAGAGCAGAGGCAGGGAAGAGAAAGGCAGGGAAAGAGCGTGAAGTTTGGATTCAGACAGACCTAGATTTGGATTCCGGTCTTTAAACCCTGCTTGGGGACATTCTGCCAACTACCCATGTCACTTTAATCTTGTCCTACCTTAAAAAACAACCCCCCAATGCCCCAAACATGATTCAATCAAGATAAACCAACCACAAATCTCTCTACCCAGTTTTCCGTGACATTTGCCATCAGTCTCCGCTCCCTCCCCCAATCCACTACAAATAAGAACTGGAACTTGTGAGAAAGATGTATTTAGAATGCTTGTAGGACAATAACCCTCTATCAAGAACACATTTAAACTATGCTGATACCATCAGGAAATGCTGGAGATTCACATTCAAGTTACATACAAGTGGATGCTCTTCAAAGTCCGTAGGAAAATGGCCAGTCTACAGGTTAAAAACAATTTAAGGGCTTCCTTCAATAGCTTCCTGTCTGGACTATTTCTTTTTTTTTTTTTTTTTTTTTTTTTGGGGGGGGGTGCCACAAGGAAGGGAAGGTGGACCTGGGAGGAATGTAAAGCAAGTGTGATCGGGGTTTATTGTACAAAACACCCAAATAAATAATAAAAATATTATGTTGGGGGGGGGAGTAAAAAAACAAAACAAAACAAAACAAGTAAACAAACAAAAAACAAAACATTTGGGACAGTAAACCTGGTTACAAATTTCAGTTCAGAAAATGAATTCGAGATAGACTTAGATTTTGTCCTGATGTCTGGAGGACTTTCTCATGTTTATATTCAAGGAACCAGCTCTTGCCCTGCCGTGTTGTTGAACCACCTGAAGCTTAGAGTGCTGTCTCCATGACTTAGCAGGGTCCACAGCACGAAGGGAGGATGGAGCAACAGCCGGAAGGCTGGTGAACGGTGCAACACCTTTGCTTCTTCCCTTTCTACTTCCCTTCTCTTCTTCTCTCTCTCATTGATTCTTAACCCTTTCAACATATGACGTTCTGGGACAGGCACAGCAGAGTCTGAGGCAGGCGAGTCCTGAGTTACACAGCAAGTCCTGAAAAGAAATAGGAAGAAGCAGCAGGTCTTAGCTGAAGCTGCAGAGAGCCGATGAGAACCCTGGGAACTGTGCCCTCTACTGAGGAAATCTCTGAAAACCCCTGGCTCTATGTGCCCTTAGTTGATGCTAATTGCTTTAATTGTGGAGGTCACATGGCTGAGCATTGAGCTGTGGGTGTACCGCAACTTTGCTGCTGTGGGAGACTCTTAGGGAAGCAACCTAATGGTGACTATGCCTCATGAAAAGATGCATTTGAATATCTTGTCTGGTGACGGTGGCTTTTCAGTGATTTCCCCTTGTCCTTGGGGGAGAGTTCCTCACTTCTGTCTCCTCCTAGACCTCCAAGGAAAGACATCCTTTTCCTGACAACTAACTACAGATTTATCTATTCCTGAGAAAAAGGGAGACTTGAGTCATACATAATACCTTCCAATTAGTAACCTCGCTCCTTAAGTTCTATATTCCAGAATATCTACTAGCCTGTGCAGCAGAAAAGCACTCCCTAAGGGTTTGTGTGTTGACCCCTCTCTGAGAAGCTTCCCTACAATGCACGGCACAGCATTGCTTCTGTAACCTCAGGCAAGATTGCAACTATTGGTAACAGCCTCTGTCTTGTAGCATCACCTTCATCTTTATCAGTACCATCAATAACATCTTAATTAAAAAAAACAAAGGAGTTGAGCTTGACAGATGGCTCTCAGCTAATCGTGTCGGCTGCTTTTCAGAGAGTTCAACAAGGTCAGCAGGTAGCTCCAACTCCAAGGATCAGTGGTTATCTGTACATACATCACACACACACACACACACACACACACACACACACACACACACACACACCCTGGGTGGGGAGAGAGAGGGAGAGAGAAGAGAGAGAGAGAGAGAGAAAGAGAAAGAGGACTAATAAAATAATTCTTAAAAGGAATTACAAATTTCCCCTGCTATTGCAGGATAGTAGCTCATAGTTATATTGTAGGAATCAGCTCTTGTTCAGCCATGTTGTCGACACAGTCAGAAGGACAGTGGCACAGCTCTGGGCAGAAGAGGCTTGCTAACAATGAACAACTAGGCTTCCCTTCCCTTCTTTACCTCCTTCTCGTCCTACCTTCCTTTGTTCCTTCTTCTTTTTTAAAAGATTTATTTATATATTTTATGTATATGAGTGTTCTGTCTACATGTACATCGGCACACCAGAAAAGGGCATTAGATCCCATCATAGATGGTTGCGAGCCACCACGTGGCTGCTGGGACTTGAACTCAGGACCTCTGGAAGAGCGGCCAGTGCTCTAACCTCTGAGCCATCTCTCCAGTCCCCATCCTTGTTCCCCCCTCAATGCTTTCAAAACAATGTATGGTTTACTGGCTTACCAAATGCTTTTCTTCATTCCAGCCACTTGTCCTTGGGTCACTGACCTTTCAAGTGGGGAGCAAGGAACTTGGGTTCGTCATTAATCCTCTTCTTCACACTCAGGTGAAAAGAAAACAGAGTCAGGTGCATGATTCCCTGGGAGTCACAGAACCACGCAATGCCAAGGCTGGGAGCAGAGAAGCCACAGCTGGTTTCATACATTGCTCTAGTCATCGTCCTCAGTCTCATTACATCGTTTCTATGAAAACTAAGGCATTCTGACAGCCAAGGATGCTGTTGAGCTGGTAGAGTACTTGCCCAGCACGCACCAGGCCCTCAACACCATCTGCAGTACTGTCTACACTGGGAGAGGTAGAGTTTACCTCTAATCCCAGAACTCTGGTGGTGGAAGCAGGAGTGTCAGAAGTTCAAGGTCATCCTTAGCTACACAATGAACTCTAGTCAAGCCTCGGATGAGTGTAAATGAATCCCTGCCTCCCTAAATAAAAAGCAAATAAAATAAACAGATAAAACATTCTTTGCTGGCAATTGTGATGCACACTTGCAACCTCAGCACTCAGGAGGCTGAGGAAAGGGGCATCTTGTAGTTGAAGCTAGGCATACCCAGAGAGTTCAGGACAAGGGCTGGGGATGTAGCCAGAGTTAAAGTGCATGCTAGTGAGTGGGAGACCCTGGGTTCTATCCCAAGTGAGGCAAAGAAAGAGAAAAAAGTATAGAATAGAATACATACTTAGAGCTAATATGGTAGAAAATTGGAAAGTAAGTGCTTCAGAGAATAATTGTTTTGTGAGTTTCTTGTTTGTATCATAAAAGCTAAGTTTAATTAGAAGATTATCCTCGGTTGGAAAGTAACATTTGTTAAGAGGACATTTCTGTTGTAAAAAGTGTTTTAAGACTTTTTCCTGCTTCCAAAATGCACTGCATCATTCCTCCCCAAAAATAAGGGATATATTTTGGCATGGTTATATTAATCCGGTATGTGCTTTGCTGAAGTTTTTTTTTTTCTTTTCCTTTTCTATTTTAAACAGGTTTAAACTGTATGAATGAACATTCGGTGGACTTATGGCCAACTGTGAGTTCTCTTTAAACTCAAAATAAGAAAAAAAAACTTGTCTATAAAGATTTGTACACCAGAGGCTGATATGCATGTATTATTTATGATCCACCACAGCATAACACTATCAATAATGTAACGATCCCATGTGCTGTTTAAAATACCTACCCCTGTTAGAACTTCTGGTGTTCGCTGTTCCTCAGTAGTAGTTCACGTCTACCATGCCCAGCATTTCCACCACATGCAGGAAAAAGAGCATTGACAGTTCTAGTATCCAAACATATGCTAATTTGGGGAATAGAAGAAACCTTAAATTGCTAATCATAGCAGTAGCTCAAATTGCCCCTATCCTACTATCCTTTATCCACTAAATCTTAAGACAAAGGGAGAGCTTGAGGAAAAAGACTGGAACAGAATGTAGTAACTGCATTGACAAGAAAGGTAAACATTGGTGACAATCTTCAGCACCTCTGAGGACTTCCCCTGTGCCAGCCACTGAAGTAGGCCTTTCTGTTAATGCCCCAGCCACACTGTGAGGAAAGACTGCATTTTGGAAGTGAGGACAGTGACAATCCAGGAGGTCAAATAATATTCCTAAAACTCCATCATAACTGGTAAGTGGCTGAGCTAGAATTCCAACCTGGATCCATCCGGATCTAGGCAAATACTTGCAAGCCCCTGGAAAGGCTTTTAGACCCATGAATACTTAATGAATGGAATGCGCTTTAGTGTCCTTTCTGAACTGGGTCATGGTCAGCACCACTTCCATTTCCCTTCCCCTTGGATCCTCTCCTGTGCACAGAGCTGGGGAAGTCAGGACTGATGAGAAAATGGAGCTGGATCCTACACCCAATGCCAGGCAAGAAACCCCCTTAGGTGTGTCTGGTCCAAGACAGGCAGACTCCTAACTCTGAGAGAGCAGTGGGTACAAGCACAGCAGAGTCTGTGGTTTTCTCCTTGCACAGCTGGGGATGGAAGCCTAGGGAGCACTCTCCCACTGAACCACACCAGCTTTGGGCATGTTTGTTAGCCCTGCCATGGCCCCACTCAGCAACATCCAGTAAAGGACATACCCTGGTAAAAATGATTCCCAAAACATGATCCTGGGAATTCTAGACCTCTCTTCCAGCCTCTTGACTTTGTACTTTATAGAACAATTATCTGGGGTCTTCAACATAGAAAGAAATGTGCTCCAACTGTAAATCTCTTAATGCAGAAACAATTTCAGCTCTGGTAACCACTGCTCTGGAACCCAGAACTTGGTGAAATAAAATGTATTCCAAGACAGGAGCCCCAGCTTTGTGATTGGAAATGAGAAGGCAATACCAAGTCCTGTTGACTTCCTAGGGCACTACAATAAATCACTGCAAATTGGTTGGGCTAACACCACAGAATGCTGTTCTATCACAGCTCTGAGGATAAAAGCACAAACAAAATGCAGGTGTTGCAAACCTAGGCTCTCCTGTAGGCTGCTACAGAGAACTATCCCTAGTCTCTTCCAGCTCTTGATGACCCCAGGTGTGCCTTGGCTTACAGCTTCCCAATTCAGATCTCTGCATCTGTAGCTACAGGGCTTTGTCTGTGCCCCTGCCCCTTTCTCCTCTGTTTCTTCCGAGGAAGGTGGCGATTGAGTTTAGAGTCCTGTCCTCAGACATGCTGCTCCTGCAGATCTGGGGTCTGACTCAGGCTACTGTATTTTTAAAACTCTGTGGCTCTTCCTGATGCCCATGGCCAGCTCTGTCCACTTGAGGAGAATCCTTTTCCAGAGAAGTGGAGGAAGGATTGCACGTGGCTCACTCCCAGCATGGCTTTGTGATATTATAGACTTGGACATTTCTGGGACAGATGTGTCTCTGCAAATTTGTATATCCTAAACAAAACTGAGAGAGAGATGAAGTTTCTCTGTGGGTTCTGTGTTTCCTATGAAATAGCCCAGGAAGCACTGGGCTAAATTGTATGGTGTTCTTGGTGTAGTGACAAGTGACAACAAGCACCCACTGAACATTCACAAAATTGAGACTTTGCTAAGACACAAAAAGATTTAATAAGCAATAAAGACTCTATATGACAAAAAGCATCCACTGTCCATCCACAGTCAAATCAAAGCTCAATTCCAGAGCTCTCTCAACTTGCCTTTCTGGAAGGTATCACAGTGCCTCACTGGTCCTCTCTTTTTTGAGGGGGAGGAAGATAAACCTAATAATGCACAGGGATTTGATGTTTAGGCCTCACTAGACTGTGCATACAATTAAAGAGAATTTTAATCATAGGGTCCTAACTGCACCAGGTCTAATCCCAATGTAGTGCATAATGTGGCCTTTTCCCAAGAGTCTGTCAGTGCCCCAGGTTTCTCTGCCCATTGATGAGCATGACTACCTTCCCAAGGCCAAAGCTATACCCTCTATCCCATGACAGCTGGAGAGGAGTAGGAATGAGGTGCAGATGGCTAGGTAGGTAAGAGACAGAAGGAAGAAAATGGTGCAGTGCCTTGAAAAGACAAAAGCAGAAAGAGAACCCACCCACCTAGAGTTCTATTCCCAGCAAAACTGTCCTTCATGAGCAAAGTCAGAGTAATCATTTCCAGATAGGGGAAAGCAGGAAATCCATCATCTAGAGCAAACCTGTGATACAACCAGTGGTGAACAGAGTCAGCCAGTTTCGCCGATAAACAAGGTCCAGGCCAAGGCCAGTAAGACCCTCACTCAAAAACAAAATGGATGGAACCTGGAAATGTACAAATGTGCACATACATACATGCATTCTCTCTCTCTCTCTCTCTCTCTCTCTCTCTCTCTCTCTCTCTCTCTCTCTCTCACTCTCTCTCTGCCTGCCTGTCTTCTGTCTGCCTTTCTCCCCTACATTGACTCAGTCCTGTGTTTGCAACAAAGATTGATAAATGTCTTTGAGGATCACAGTAAGCTAAATACAGATCATACGTGACTCCATGGAAACACTTAATAAATTCTGTAACGATAGGTTATAAATATTGATGGAGAACAACAAATTTACAATAAGGGCCTGGGGGTCTAGTGCTAGAAAAGTTTCTGGCCACACAGATAGAACAAAAGTCACCAGACTAGTAAACAAGACCACTCCCAGCCTTCTGGGTGCCTAACAGTTATACATTCCTTCCTTCAAGGAACAACCCAGTGTGTTTAACATTCCAGGTTCCCCTAGTGCTTACCTATGAACACAAAGACTCCATGCTTCCTACAATGCCCAACTCACTAATGAGGTCACCTTCAGAATTCAGAATTAGGGCTTAGAAATTCCACTTCCCAGCAGGACTCAAATGAAAGGAGGACCATCTTCTTATTTTATTTAATTAACTATTTTTCTCTCATATATTACATCCTGACCGAGTCCCCTCCCTGTGTCCCCTCTCCCCCAGATTCACTCCTCCTCCTTTCTCTTCAAAAAAGGGCAGGCCTCCCAGGGATATCAACCAAACCTGGAATATCAAGTTATAGTAAACCTAGGCATATCCTCTCATATTAAGGCTGGATGAGGCAACCCAACAGGAGGAAAAGGGTCCCCGAAGCAGGCAAAAGTGTCAGAGACAGCTGACAACATGACAGAGACATGCCTACTACCCTGTTCCCACTGGTAGCAGTACCATAGGAATCTCAAGCTACACAACTGTAACATATGGGCAGAACACATAGGTCAGACCCATACAGGCTCCCTGATTGTCGGTTCAGTAAAAAGAAAACATCTGAGAGGCAGTGGTCATCATTCTGAAACTTATTTCTCCAGCAATGGTGTAGGTGTTTGAGACTGATCTCTTATCTAGGAACAAGTTACGGAGATAACAATACGTTCTAAGACAGTGAGGCTATCAAGGCAAAGAGAACCAAGTTGAACAACTGTACAAGACCTGGCTTCCTGGGGGAGGAGATCCACTAAGCTAATCCAGTTTACACTGCCTGACCTTGGTGGGATAGCCTACCATGCCTACATCTCTTGTGTGAAGAGGCATTTTAAATGCCAGGGAGCTAGAAGGCAGGATTATGGTAGCTTTCTAGCTAAACATTAAATCAGATCATTTCAAGGCCTTGAGGCTTAAAGTCATGTTTATATAACAATGGTCCAATTGCAAAAATGGAAAGGTCAGGCTGCTTTGTTTACCGGAGCCTTATAGCCACATCCCCAAAACTCACTTGCAAACCCCATTTGTATTCTGCAAGGCATCAAGAAAGCTTGTAGGAAATTTAACCAAAGGATTTGGATCTCAAATAAAAATGGGTTGCAAGTTTCAACTTAGTATGAGGTATATAGGAGAAAGGAAATTTAATAGTTAATACCTCAGGTCATATGAGATGCCTAAAAGTGAATCAAGAAGAATACATGGAAAGGCATGTTTTCTTATAGTTTTTGTCTGCTACAAAAATGTCATGTTTAAGAATAGTGGGGATTAGTCCCAGAAAGACAAACATTGAATATGCTCTTCTGCATTGGAGACTCGTAGCTCCAAATCTTCAGATGTCAGGACATAATCTGGAGTAACTGCAAAAACCAGACAGAGCAGGTTGCAGATAAATCCTGTTTGCTTGGGCTTCTTTTAGCAGGGTATTTTTAAAAGCTTTTTATTGATTCTTTGTGGATTTCACATCATGCATCCCAATCCCATTCCTTTCCCTGTCTCTTCATATCTGTCATTTGCCCTTGCCACCCCCCGTCTCTCCTCACAAATAAAATAAAATAAAAATTAAAAGAAAAGAAAATCTCGTTGTGGAGGCTGTAGTGTGACACAGTGAGTCACACAGTATATCCTTTTAGTCCATACATCTTTTTTTCTTTTCTTTTCTTTTCTTTTCTTTTCTTTTCTTTTCTTTTCTTTTCTGAGAATTAGATAGGAGCAACCAGGATGTTGTCAGGTCCTGGTTACACGGAAATGCTAATCAGCATATCATGCAAGCTCCGGATCATCATTTTCTATCTGCCATCTGAGAGGAGGAACAGGTAAGAATTAACCTCCTGATGATAGTTCATACATCTTTACTTGCAAGTGTTCATTGCAAAGAGTCTTTGGTCTGGTTCGAGGGTTCTGGTTTCTGCTTCACTATCAATACTGAGCCTTCATTGGGACTCCTCTTGGATATCCTGTTGTCCTGTGTCATGGAGATCCTGCAGCTTTGGATCTGCTGGACTGGCCCCTTCACATGCTCCAGCAGATCATAGATGGGGTGGATGTTGGGGTGGGTCAACTCATAGCCCTGGTTCTGTGCCTGGGTGGTTGTTGGGTTGGTCATCCCACCAGCTCTCCCTCATCCTCCTCACCAGGGTGGGCTCTCCAGCACTGCCCCTGCAGCTAGCTCACACTATGTAGCAAGTAACAAGGGGGCAGGGCTGGTTCTCCTGCTCCCATGCCCTCAGGGCTGGCTCACCCACACCCCAGCCAATAGGGTCAGCTCTACTGTGCTGCCTAGGTGGGGTACAGGGCCTCCTTTCCCTAAGTGCTGCAGTTAGTAAGGGGCAGGGTCAGTTCTCCAGCCTGCCACTGGTGATGAGGGGTGAGGAGGGCAGGGGTGAGGGGTGAGGTGAACACTACATGGTTGATGAGGGGGATAGGGCCAGCTCTCCCACTCTTACCCACACCCCTGCCAACAAGGTCAGCCCCATTGTGCTTAGCAGGTATTTTATCCCAGCAATACAAAGAGTACCTAAGATACTGGGAATTTATCAGATGGAACACTCAATATTGCTTTGTTATAGGAAGAATTTGTTGTGCTTTGGAATGCATCTGGAGTGTATCTTGGGTATTGGTTACTTTTTTGTTCCTGTGATTAAAAACTAAATGCATCCATACAGCTAAGGAAACCATAAATTAAATGAAGAAATCTACAGAGTGGGTAAGGATCTTATCCAGATATACATTTGACAGAGGATTAATATTCAGAATATATAAAGAACTCCTAAAACAAAAAGAAAAGAAAATGAACAAACGAACACCACCACCACCACCACCAACAAAACAAGCAACAAATGACCCAAATAAAAAAATGGGTCAGGGTCATAAAAACAGACATGTTGATCAACGGTATTGAACTGAAGACCAGTCATAAGTTCACATGCTTATAGACAACTGATTTTTGACAAAGAAGCCAAAAATACACACCAGAAAAAAGACAGCATCTTCAACAAACAGTGCTGCTCAAACTGGATGGCTGAAGAATCCAGGCAGATCCATACCTATCACCCTGTACAAAACTCAGTTCCAAATGGATCAAAAATTTAACGCAAAACCAGATACCCTGAATATGATGGGAGAAGAAGTGGGGAATAGTCTTGAATTCATTGGCAGAAGAAAAGATTTTCTGAACAGAAAACCCACAGCACAGGCACTAAGATCAACAACTAATAAATGGGACCTCATGAAACGAAAAAGCTGCCATATGGAAAAGGATACCATAATTTGCACCAAGTGGAAGGCTGCAGACTGGGAAAAGATTATTATTTTTTTTTTACTAACTACACATCCAATAGAGGACCACTATCTAAAAAGTAAGTGAAGAACTAAAAAAGCTGGATATCAAGAATATAAACATCACAATTAAAAAATGGGGTACAGAACTAAACAGAGAATTCTCAGAAGATGAAACACAAATGGTTGAGAAACACTTAAAGAAATGTCCAACAAACACTAAGGGCCATTTGAGGGGTCATATGGGAATGTACTAGAGTAGAAGCTTCTTAAAATATGTAAAAATGAAGGAAATCTAAATGGAGTCATCAAATAAGAGAGACAATGCTCCAACCAGACCAGCTACCTTATGCTCCTTCTACCAAGTGAAACCTCCAGTGCCAGAAATGGGTTATATTTCATTGAGTTATTGGCCAAAAGGAATCCTATGGAAACCCCCAAACCATCCAGGCTATTGCCAAGGCTACTGGTTGCTCTCTACAAACTAATGGTAAGCCCCTATTGCTGAAGGCAGCACTTAGACAACTCACGAACATAGAGAAGTTGAGCTGGTGCCTAACAAGAACGTTCCCCCCTACTGACAAGTGTTCATGGTACCGGGAGATGCTCTGCATTCTACCAGAGGAGAAAGGTAAGCACTAAGGTAGCTACAACTTTTCGGTCTATAATGGTGACCTGTTTGTGTGATATGCTGGTGCATAAAAGTTGTGGGAGTAACCAACCATCACCTGATAGGAATCAAGACCCACTGCACGAGAAGAAAATCCCATGCTTGATGCCGCTTAGGTGGCCAAGAACCTGTGTGACTATATAGACCACGGGCCTAGAGGAAAACCAAGTACTAATGTTCTACTAAAGGAACATAGCAATAAAATGACATCTAACGACATTCTGCTCTACCAGTGTCTTGCTCAGCCACTGCCAGGAGATGGGAACCAACACAGAGACCCACAACTGGACAATTTGCTGAGAGTGAGAGACCTTGGAACACTCAGTTCTAAGTGGGATGTCTTCATCAAGTCCCTGCCCTCAGGTCTCAGGAGTGTGAGGGCCAGTGGGGAGAGAAGACACTAAGGAAAAAGTGTCTTCCTGACACAACAGGACTGACATACACACGAACTCACAGAGACAGTGGCAGCGTGCACAGGGCCCGCACAGGTCCTCCCAGTGCTGGGAGGAGGAGGTAGACGCGAGCCCCCATCCCGAACCCAGGAGCTATCTGCAGCTGACAACTGCTTGCAAGTGAAAACTGAATTTTCTCCAATGCAGTAATCAATAGCAGTCTAACGGGACACGAGGCCCACTCACTAGGAGGGGATCATGCCTGGGACTAGAAGCCAACTCCCTTAGGTTAGTGAAGTCACAGGTCTTAGAAGAGAGTCTGTGATCACCATTCTACTAGACGGGAACACTTCCTAACTGCATTTTAAAACTTATCCTTACACCTGCAGATGCATGCAGCTCTCAGCCTTCCTCAAAGAAGCCTCTCTTTCCAGCAAATGGAGAGCACTACAGAAAACCACAATAGGTCACAATGCACAGTGGATTAGAGGGAGCTCATCCTCAATGGATATACCTACAAACAACTCCTGAACTTAAGGCTTAGAGAACACCATGAAATGGGTGTGTGTGTGTGTGTGTGTGTGTGTGTGTGTGTGTGTGTGTGTGTGTATGTGTGTGTAAAGATCGTAAAAGCCAAAGGACCGGGATGTCTGCTGTGAGAATTGTGTCACTTGGAAATGACAAGGGAGCTATACCCATGATACCTCAACAATATGGCTACACAAAACAAGACCTGAACAGTAGTAATACCAGTAGATAGGCTAATATGGAAGGGGGTTCCACTCTTAGACAAAGAACTACAGGCAACTAGTGATACTTAGTGAGGGAAACTTAGCCTCTCCCAGAGATGAGCCCTCTGATTAGTTATCTAATACAAAGTGGTCAGCTCTGAAATCATATATATATATATATATATATATATATATATATATATATGTCACACTGAATGAAGAAGACTCAGCAGATTGTATTTATGTATTTAGACATATACATGTATATATAATATATATTATATTACAATAATCAAAGAAAAAGAGTGTATAAATTTGACAGGGAGTGAGGTGGAGATATGGTAAGGGTTGGAGGGAGAACAGAGAAGGGAGGAAGTGATATAAAATTATATTCCAATTAAAGTGTAAAATATGGTACAGATACATGATGGAATATTGCTCAACTATAAAGAAAATAAAATAAGGAAATTTGCAGGTAAGTGAACCAGAAAGAAGACTTGTACTGAGTGGTGTAACTCAGGCACAGACAGACAAACTCTGTTTTCTTCCATTTATAAATCATAGCTTCAAATCTTTGCTTTTGTGGAGCACAACTGGAAGCCAGAACGGGGCATTTGGTGAAGAGAAGGGGCAAATAGATTGTGGGTAAAAGCAAACCAGAGAGGGGGTGGAACTCTGAGGACGGAAAGTCTTCGGTTATGAAAGGCGCTGGAGTATGGGCAAACCGAGGGGTTGTGGGGGGGGGGTTAACTCGAAGGAAGGGTTGAGAAAGCCCAGGTTAAGCCTACTGTCTCCCAACTCAACTGAACAACATAACTGGGGGGATAGGAGAATACATGGGCTGTGAAAGAAGAGATGGGCATACCACTGCTTAAAGGATTAAGCTGAGATCGGTGTGGGGCGTGGGGGAGAAAAGGGATCAGAGGTGAGTTAGTCAAGACAAAGGATGTATGAAAGATCCTTATGGAGGTCATTAGTAAGCTTATTTTAAAATATAGCTTTTTAAAAGAATTCCAACTGAATTATCCACATGAGTGGGCAATGTCACTCGTAGAAGACGAGGGTTATTAAGTAAAAATTGTACCATTAGGAATGGGATATGTTGGGGAATATTATTTTAAGGTGAATTACTTTAGTTTATGCTGCATTTGTTTAATACTGTGAAGCTGTGTTACTTGGCCTGTCTAAAACACCTGATGGTCTAATAAAGAACTGAATGGCCAATGGCAAGGCAGGAGAAAGGATAGGTGGGGTTGGCAGGCAAAGAGAATATATAGAAGGAGAAATCTGGGAGGAAGAGAGGGGGGAACGGCGAGCCAGAGAAGGAGGAGGACTCCAGGGGCCAGCCACCCAGCTACACAGCAAGCCATGGAGTAAGAGTAAGATTTACAGAAGTAAGAGAACGGGAAAAGCCCAGAGGCAAAAGGTAGATGGGATAACTTAAGTTAAGAAAAGCTGGCTAGAAACAAGTCAAGCTCAGGCAGGGCATTTATAATTAAGAATAAGTCTCTGTGTGTGATTTATTTGGGAGCTGGGTGGTGCTCCCCCCCCAAAAAAGAGCAAAACCAACCAACAGCAGGGATATCTTTCAGTGAGTGTGATCAGGGAGACCACAGAGGTCTCCAAAAAAACAAAAGCAATTGTTGTTGAAGATACCACACACTTTGGATATAGAACATAAGAGACATGAGAAGCCTTTCTTCTCAAACCCTTTCTTCTGGCTAGTTCTCACAGTTCCAGAAGGTCCTGTGTGGACTGTAGGGGGAA